TGTGAACATGAGACATGGTGCATGCGATGCTTTATAAAGCCTCCCTTATATATAGTTCAAAAGAGAGGGTTGTTTATAAATTTCAGAAGACCAGCATGTTCATGTGTGTTTGCATGGCAATAAAGATCCTGTGAATGTTTCGGAGGATGTAGAAGACGGAGAACGCCGTGGATGCCCAAGAACGAGTGTTCGAAAACAAATCAAATGAAGGCGTCAGAATGATTGCAGCAATGTGTCCACCAACAAAGAGACCGTTAGGGAAATCTTTGCACAACATGAAGAAGGACATTTATGCAAAGGTTATCCCACGGTTGGGATAAACTCGTGAAACAAATTGAAGCAAATCCGGTGTTTTTAATTTTTGGAAAAATATGTTCATGAGACTTGTATCTGGAGAAGGTTGGACATCACCTGGGTTGCCAAGGATGAAAGAGTTCAAGTTCAAGGCTGTGTTAACGGTTTTCTTTGACATTAAGAGCATAATTATGGATTAGAGGACGGGGTTCTAGAGGAATTAACAAAAGGGATTGAGCCAAAACTCTATTATAAATGGGCTCTTGAACATTTTCATCTAAGGGTGAAGAAAAAGAGGCTACAGCTGTTGGAAAATGGTTCCCTCTTTCATCAGGACCCACACTGCTCTCTCTGAAAGGTTCTTTGGCCCACACCACACTCTGTATTTGCCTGATCTTGCACCATGTGACTTTCTTTTCCCTAAAATTGGATCTACTCTCAAAAGAACTGATTTTGAGTCTTTTTCAGAAGTGGAGAAGAAAATGATAGCTTTTTAGATGCTTAATGAAAGATCTGCTGCACTGCTTTGATTGGAAGACGAGAGCGCAGCAGCGTGTAGGTGCAAAGGGGGAAAATATCGATTCATTAAAATTGAATTGCAGCATCAGCCTCATATGGTCGTTGACTTAACTGAGGATCCTAAGCCTGAGTGAGCCTGAATGATTGACCATCTCTCTGTGATGGAGTAGCCTGCCCAGAGTGTAGCTCTCCACTATCAGTGGGGTTAAAAAGGTGGATGATGGATGATTTGTAGCTTCATACTCATCTAATGTTCCTTTTTGTAATCTCTTAATGTGCAGGCGGCTCTGACAACCATCTGATCCTGCTGGACCTGCGCAGCAAGGGAACCGATGGAGGACGAGCAGAGAAGGTCCTGGAAGCATGTGCCATTGCTTGTAATAAAAACACCTGTCCAGGTACTGTGTGTGTGTGTGTGTGTGTGTGTGTGTGTGTGTGTGTGTGTGTTTACCATTAAGGCAAAGTAGTTTAACATACACAAGTATGGCAAGTAAGGCACATTTCATATTTAAGATGAGATAAGAAGAACTTTATTTATCCTGAGGTAAATTCTTTTGTCATAAACATGCTCAATGCAGCAGGAGAAGCAGAGGAATAAGGCAAGTTTATTTATATAGCACAATTCAACAACAAGGTGATTCAAAGTGCTTTACAGAGAAATTTAAAAACAAAAACAATAAAAACCATGATTTAAAATTTATTTAAAAAAAACAGTAGATAAAATCAGTAGTTAAAATGTAAGTTAAGTGAAATTTAAAGATATACAATAAGTTTTGTTTTTTTTGTTTTTTTTAAGTAGATAGATCCCATTTTTGCTTGCTTGATGTCTCTGCAAAGTCCCATTCTTAGTTTTTCTCGTACATCTTTGTAGGAGATAAAAGTGCTTTGCGACCTAGCGGCCTGAGGTTCGGCTCGCCGGCTCTTACCTCCAGAGGCTTGGTGGAGAATGACTTCAGGAAGGTGGCTGAGTTCATTCACAGAGGTAATTTATTCCTTTAAAGCAGGAATTGGTGTAAAAATATTTCTCACAAACAAAATGTAAATAACCCATGCTTTCATTCTTCCGCAGGCATTGTACTGACTGTGGAGGTGCAGAAAAGTCTGGATCCCAAAGCCACTCTGAAGGAGTTTGTTCAGGCATTATCCCAGGGAGAGAAGTTCCAGCAGCGGGTAGCGGAGATCAGGGCTGAGGTGGAGGCTTTCGCCGGACAATTCCCAATGCCGGGTCTACCCGAGCTGTAGAGCACATTTCGGACTCTAAATGCAGCTGAATGGATGATTCAAGAAGATTAATATGAAGGCATATGATGCTGGGTTTTTGTTTTTCCTTTATTTTGACTGTCGACTCACAGTTCGCATGGATAGACACGATTTCTGTTCAAACAGATTCAAAACCCATCGAATTATTCTGTGTTGTTACTGAGCCTTTCCCATTTTTACGTGTTTTCCATTTAGCTTCAAGATCGGGTGTTACAATCATATTTAAGCTTTGAGCTCATCAGAAATCTCACTTTCATCTGTATTAAGGTTACACTTCAAAGGTTTTGTAGCAAACTACCACATTATCAGTATATAGTATACATATATAGTATCGTAAGTACAACTTTAAAAATAAAATAATTACATTCTGAATAAACTAAGAATGAAAGAAACCTCAGCTGTTATGTTTTGTTTTGCTTTATTTTTTTTTTCCCCAGTCTAAGTACATCAGTGCTCTGGACTCTGATTACGTTAAGTAGATATTAGAAGCTTACAGTGGTTTAATAATCTTGATTTAGCAGCAATAGAAAAACAGCTGACGCTGGCTGGAATGTCATTACAAGAGCACTGGACAAATAAAAATTCTGGTAGAATAAAAGTTGAGGGGTCATTAAAATTCAAATCACCTTGATGAGAACGAGTCCGCGGAGAGTCGAATATCCAGACCCTGTGTTCCTGTGAAACCTGGATGTTGGTTCCAAAGGGTGAAAAGTTTTCTCCAGTAGACATTTTTTCTTCCTAGTAGAATTCTCAGTGAAGAGATATCCTGGACTTGGATTTTTCACTCAAACTGGATACTGCTGTATGAATCTGTATGTGTTATAACATAGTCTCTTTCAGGAAAAACGGTCAGTAATCCTGAAAGAACAGGTGATACAGGACATTAGAAAACAGTGAAACAGCATAGCATGCTGCTATCTAAGAATATCTAATTTTCTACCTTTCATGTGTTGCTTTTGTACCAATTTTAAATTAAACAAACAACCTTATTCACATTTTACGTGGTGTCCCAATTTTATTGGAAACAAGGATCTGATATGTTTCTACTGAAAACTACAAATGTTGGTACAATCACTGGTTTGGGGGTTTTAAATTTTTCTTAATCTATACATTTGATTATTTTAGATTAGAATCTCGTTTGGCTCTCGGTGAAGGCAGTCGCACTTTTCTCCTCTCCTCCTTCCCCTTATCTTCCCTGCTTAGCCTCTTGTGTCTTTGTCTTGTCTCGTGTGCATTACTTTCCCTGGAACAGTCTCTCACAGTCTGTCTCTAAAACCTAAAAGAGAATTATGGATTAGATCAACTGGTCTCTGAATGCTATTGACACCCTTTTCTCAACGAGAAGTCTGGGCTCAGGAGAGCCTGAGTGCCCTGGAGGGACTTTCCTTGCTGGATACATGATGGACGGGTGGCAGACATGGAGGATCGTGTGCCTGGCGGGACTGTCGATCGAGGACGCTGAAGATATCTACCTATTCGGAACCATGATAACAGGGTTCTTGCTGATCGGAGCTGGCTTGGCCCTGGCTTATCGGAGAATTAAGAAAGCAGAACCGGCTGTTCAAACCCCCCCATGGCTGCCCGCTGGGATTGAAACAACGGGACGAGGCGCGACTTTTCAGAATGGGCTCACTGAGTGCAGCATGGATAAGACCTTGGAGAAGCTTACGTCTGCCGTGAATACTCAGAATAACACTTCTGAGCGTATATTGGGTTACATCAAGGAGAAGTCCGCTCAGAATAACATCTCTGAGCGAAAGTTGGATTACATCGTGGAACAGCTCACTGCAGTCGTGAGTTCTCAGAATCGGCAGTCGTGAGTTCTCAGAATCGGCTCTCTGAGCACAAGAATGACAAGACCACGGAGCGCAAGTTTGATAACATCATGGAGAAGCTCGCGGCTCTCCAATGGGAGATTGAGAGACCAGTGTCGGAGTGTTAAAGAACAGCTTTGAAATTCTCATGAGCTGCTCGCATAAAAGAAAAATCAACAACATCGACAACATCATAATGCGGACATCCCCTCGGCACCAGCTGTGGGCTCAAGGCTGGAGCCGAACAAAAACTCCCTGATAACGACTGTGTGTTGACTGTTCTTCCCACTCTATGCAAGGCCACCTGGGTTGGCTGGTAGATTGTTTACTTAGCCTGGTAGGGCGGAGGACACTGGGGTGGGTGTCTAGGCCTGCGCTGGAGAGACGGCGCAGTAGCCAGATGTTGCCTGGGATTACTCCTCATCCCCAACCCTGTTGCTGGCCATGTGCTCTATAATGTTGTACTGTGGACATTTATGTGCAGAACTGTGCAGAGGAGTTTTTTTGTTTCCTGTTCTCATGCTGTCCTCCTACTTGTATCCCCATGTGATGTCTGTGTTGTGTGTGTAAGGTCGGGGGC